ACTCCGCAGACCAAATTGTACCTGTTACCATACCTTCCCTACCATGATGGGCTGCATTCCTCTGATCTTTGAGGCAAAATAAACTCTCCCAAGTTACTTTTTGTCAGGAATTTGATCATAGTAATGAGAACAGTTACTAATACACCAAGTGAATTTTATCCAGAGGTACAAGATTGGTTTAGCATTTAAAAATTCATCACTGTAATTTACCATGTTAATATAGTAAAACAGGTTGACAAGAATTTCAGTATGGGTTATATTCATGAGGGTTCCTGTGGATAGCTGGGATTTGATACTTTCTCAAATAGCATAGTAGATTCCAGATCAATAGAAGATTGGAGAGAATAGGGATAAAGAAAGGGACAGTGTCACAACCTTCTGGAATGTTTTCAAGGACAAATTACTAAGATGACTGAATTCACAGGTCACAGATTTCTGTTATTCTTGACAGTGATTAGGTTTCCTAAGCACTCTGGGCTGCATTATTACATCATTATCAGCAGCTATGCATAGGATAACTGCCTAGCTTGCGGGGGTATTGTGATAATCATTTTAATGTACATCATGGTGCTTAGTATAGCATCATAAAGAAAAAATTTTTAAGAATATAGCTGATGTTTAATTTTTGTTTTGTTTTTTGTACTAGGGGAGGGTAGTAGGAGGAACATACATGTGCCATGACACACATGTGGAAATCAGAAGAAAACTTGTGAAAGTCACTTCTCTTTTACTATTTTGTGGATCCCAGGCATCAAACTCAGGTCATCAGGCTTGGTAGCAAACACCTTTACATGCTGAGTCATTTTGCCAGTTCTGATGTTTATTTTTTAAGCCATATATATATTGAAACATGCTTTTACATCAAAGGTAGCTGACTGAATATGACATCCACACAGTTCAGCCTTATGAATCTTACCCTAATAAGTTTGGTTTTTACAGTGTTAAAGATAGTTCTGTAGGCTGGGCTTTGCAGGAGAGTCCTATAAAACCCTGCTATTTGAGAGGTTGTAACAGAAGGATCATGAGTGCGAACCAGCCTGGGCTACAAAGCAAGTTCAGGGTCAGCCTCTGAGCCACATAGTAAGAACCTGTCTCAGAATTTTAAGAAAGTTAAAAAAAAAAAAAAAAAAAAAGAAAAGAAAAAATTCCTCAAGATAGAGCCCAATTGTAGAGCCAGGTGCCTAGCACTCACATGGCCCTAGGTCCAGTCCTCAGCACCAAAAAAGAGACAGAGAAAGAATTAGCATGAGAGAGGGAGAATAGGTTTTAAAGATAGTGTGCTGCCAGAAGGAGTTGTGTTTGTTTTAAAAGTATGAACTTATATTAATATTAGTTGTAAGAATTAGAAAGCTGGGCGTGGTGGCACACACCTTTAATCCCAGCACTTGGGAGGCAGAAGCAAGCGAATCTCTGTGAGTTCGAGGCCAGCCTGGTCTACATAGTGAGTTCCAGGTCAGCTGAGGCTACAGGGAGACCCTGTCTCAAAAAAGACCAAAAAAAATAAGAATTAGAAATGGTTAATATAGTTGGTTTCTTCAGTCTAATACTAAATTTAGGAATTCTGTGCATTTTACCCAACCTTCTCTTTTCTACCTACGTGCAAACCTCCCCACAAAAAACCAAACCAAACAACAACAAAAAGAATGTCGGAGGATTTTCTTTTTTTTTTAACATACATATAGCTTGTGTATTGTACACAATTCTTTTTTAAAATGCTGTTATAATTTTAAGCATCTCTTATCTGAAAATGTTTGTGCCCAGAAATATTTCTCATTTCAGATTTTGGAGATTTGGATTAAACATAATGAAATTGATTAGGGATTGAAGGCAAAACACAAATCACATTTATGTTTCATGTACACATATATACAGCCACTTGTGGTATCATGTCAGCGTTTGAGATTGGAAACTCAGATTGTTGATAGTGATGCTCAGGCTGTATTGCCGCTATCTCATTGTTATAAGATTAGAAAAATCTAAAATTACAATCTTGTGTATTATAAAGTCAGCTTAGATGCTTTTTTTTGGTCTTTTTTGAGACAAGGGTCCCCCTGCAGCCCCAGCTGGCCTGGAACTCACTATGTAGACCAGGCAGGCCTTGAACTCACAGAGATCCGCCTGCCTCTGCCTCATACTGTTTTTTAAATTTCAATTTACTAGCAACATTTCAAGTTGGCATTTAAGAAAAAGATTAAGTTTCTGTATTTTAAAATACGTGTTCTGTTATCTAAGACATAGCATTTGAATTAGAAGTCAGTTAAGTTGGAGCTGAGGGTATAGGAATACTCCCAACAGTCCCCATGCTGAAAAATTAAGAAATATGTTCATTTATAGTTAGTGTTTTAGTAAAATGTCATTCTACTTAGAATTTAGGTGTAATTCTGAAAGTGATTTTTTATTTTGTTTGAATCTTACTTTAATCAGTTGTTAAATAAAACAAAAACTGTGAGTAATTTTTTCTTCCACAAGAGGGCCTTCTTAGAAAAGCTTTTCCTTATTTAATGTCAAGGTATTTCTGTACAACTTTTCTGACACCTGAACTTTCTTTAGAAAGAATTTCAGAGAAAAACTAATGCTCATTTCTTCTGGCTATATACTTACAAAGTAGTCTTCTGAAATGTTAATAGTTATTTTGTAAATTTTGCGATTTTTCTCCTCCTGCCTTAAAGAAATGCGTTATTTTCTATTCTCAGCTGTTTAAGGCTGAACTCAAAGCAGGAATCTAAAGACTTCTCATTAGCTTGACTTTATAGGTTTATCTTATATAATTGTATATCCCTTTTTTCTGTCTACCTCCCCCCAACAAAACTCAAGAATTGTGGTTTAAAACGAACAGGGCTATGTGAAGAGATATTATCACAAACAAATATGTATAGAAAAAAGGTTTTTTCAGATAAAGATTTTATTAAACATATGTCACCAAGCAGAAAGTATTAAAGGGGTTTTGTTCTCAGTCCAGAGCTTCAGATAATCAGCTCAGTGATATTTCTATTCCTGTAATGCCCTACTACTTCATTTTAGCAAAGTCCAGAGGAACAGGAGACAGGAATAAAAGTCATTAGGAGTGTTTAGTTCCTACCCAGATGTCCCTTGTTTTACATTGCCTGAGAACACTTACCCTTTGAGAGCAAAGTAGGGTAAATGGGAGTCTTGAATATTTCTTTTATTTTTCTCAGGCTATAGAAAATTTATTCAAAGAAAACAAACTACGTGGTTATTATAAAGGCAGGCTTGCTTTTATTTTTAGTTCAATCCAGTATATATCCTTTTACTTTTCATAACTACTATTTTGCTTCAGTTTACTTACTGTCAAATTTGTGTTCATAAATCACCCAAAGACCTTGTTAATGATACAGCTGTCCAAGTCTTATTCTCACAGATGTTAACCAGACTTGGGATGTGGCTAGGGCATCAACCTCCTAGCAGACTGTAGTTTAAAGTTTAGTACAGAGAGTAAAATAATCCTGTTTTCTTTCTTAGAAACCTGATCACCACTATTTCTGTAACCTTGGACAATTTTCTTAATGCCTCTCAGCCATACCTAAAAGAAGAGAGAACATGTGTGGCTCTCTCTCCTCCAGCCGTATTAGGTTACTTGTCCCCTAAATAAGCACATCTTTGAGACTTCTGTGCCATTAGATGCATAATCATTTATCCTTGGCAGTTGCTTCTTTAGTAACTTTTCTCCTTTAAAACTGTAGGGTTGGCACAGCTTCTGTGACCACTCTGGCCTTCCTACATTCCCTTCCCTACTTATGTACTCTTTCCAGACAGCTCCTACTGAGAAGCATTATATTGTAATGAAAAGAACATGTGTCCTATAGAGCGGCATGGTTACTCATGACTGTAACCCCAGCACTTGGAAGGTAGGAAGATCAGAGGTTCCAAGGCCAATCCAGCTACATAGCTCCTGGGCTGCATGAGACCCTATCTCAAAGGAGGAGAGATTTCTCAGTGGTTAAGAGCACTGGACGCACTTCAGAGGATCAAGCTTCAGTTCCAGCACCCATGTTGTAGTTAAGAACTGCAATATGATCCAGGGGATCCAGGGCCTCTCTTCTGGCTTCCGTGGGCATTGCATGACATGGGTGCACTTACATTCATGCAGGCAAAACATTCATACACAAAATATTAAAATAAATAAATAATAATAATAAAAGGGGGCTCTAATAGGCAGGCATGAATGTGAATTGTGACAACCTCTGACTAAATGTGTAAGCTTAAACAAGTTTAATTCTTTTTAAAGCATGTAATGAGAATAATGTTACTTTGCAGTGTTATGAAAAATAAGATGCAAAATCTGGGCATAGGGGTGCATGACTGTAATCCCCATACTTCGGAAACAGAAGCAGGAGGAACAGGAATTCAAAGGCAGACTTGACTACATAACAAGTTTGAAGCCAGCCTGGGCTACATGAGACCCTGCTTTAATACACATACACATACACACGCACGCACGCAGTGTATGAGAAGCACCTAGCCAAGGACATAACACACAAAAGCATTAAGTAAATAAGTGCCTCTTTTGTTGTGATTCTGTGTGTCTTTCTGCATATTGGCCTTGCAGTGCTTAATACAGAGTATATTGGCATCTTGTACATTTCTTTCATTATATGGTGAAAGAATTAAATTCATGAATAATAGATAAAAGACACTTGAAAAGCTATCTCATTTAAAAGTTTTCATTTGAGTGCTGTTTTCTTATATAAAGCCTATGTACTACATACTGCAGATCTCATTAAACATTCAGGAGGTAAGTTTTAGAACTATTATATGTTTGAGAAATGCTGAGTTGTTAATGTTCTGATGGATGTATTTTAAATTTTAATTTAAAATTTTACCTTCATAACACAAGCAGCCTTTGAGATATGGTTTAAGTGATATGGTTATTATAATCAGAATTCAATAATTTTATTGAATATATGATAGTTTAATATAATAAGCTTCCAATTTAGTGGTAACAAGTTTCAAAAATATTTACTTTTATCTTCTCATAAAAGCAACACTTTGTGGATTTGGATGAAAATAGACAAAGGTTGTTGCAGAAATGCAAGGAACTTATGAAGAGAGCAAGGCAAGTATGTAACCTGAGTGCAGAGCAACCTGTTCCTCAAGAATATCAGACAGTAAGTATAAAAGTATACAATGCTCCGTTTGTCCCAAGCATAGCAATAGGACATGAAAAACATGAAGTGCTATTTAAAAATAATGCTTTTCCCCAGTTTTGAACTGTATGTCTTGTACATAAAGTAATTTTGCTTAACATTTCCTCAGATCTAGTCACCAGTCTTTGCTAAGTATTAAAATTCTTAAAACATAAGAATTACCTTCAAAATTAAAACATAACATTCTTTCTTACAATAAAAGTGGGCCTTTCCCCCTTAAACTAAACTATCTGTAAGTTGTGTAGTTGGGAGTATGAAATATTCTTGGAAACATAAATTATAGTTTTTCATGGAAAATAGTAATTTGTATTTAAGAAACAGTAAGTAGGGGTGATATGTAGAAAACACAAAGACAAACTAAAAGTGTTTCCCTAGAATTGAGGTATTTGATTAGAATTCATGGGGTGCTGAATCTTAGAGCTGACACTTTCTTTAAGCTATATTTTATAGGCTGACATGTCACTAGTGAAGCTAAGAAGTGCTGCCCTTCAGCTGACATCCACTCACTCTGTGTTGGTGTCCCTAGGTTATCCAAAGAGGGAATCCTTCTTTACATCCTAGTCAAAGTGTCATCAACATAAATCTATAACATGTATATTTAAATAATGGTATTTATGCACCTTTTTTATTCTTAGTTTTCAATGTATCAGTTTAGCTGGGCATGGTGGTAGACACCTTTGATCTTAGCACTTGGAAGGCAGAGACAGATGGATCTCTGTGAGTTGGAAGCCAGCCTGAATTACATGGTGTGATGTGGACCAGCTGGGACTGCAGGGAGACCCTGTCTCAAAAAAAAACAAAAAAATAATGTCAATTTTAATAGATGATGAAATGTCCACTAAAGATATAAACAGAGCTGGAAAAAAAAAAAAGACTACTGTGGATTTTAATTGTCAGATCCTCAAACATTTTATTTTATGGTATCAGACACAGAGCCCACAGAGCATGGATTTGATTGGTTTATAATAAGAATTCATTGGAAGCTGGGTGTGGTAGTACATGGCCTTTCATCCCATTACTTGGGAATCAGAGGCAAGCAAGTAAATCTCTGTAAGATTGAAGCCATCCTTGTCTACATAGTAAGTTCCAGGCCAGCTGGGGCTATGGGGAGACCCTGACTCAAAAAGACCAGGGGTAAAAAAAGAATTCAGTAGAAATTTGCAAAACTAGTTGAGAAGTTTATTTCAAAAGATAATACTAGACCTTCTGTACAACATATTGCATCTTCATAAAGTAAATATTAGTGTAATACGTACACTGATTTTTTTTTTTTTTTTTTGGTTTTTTTTGAGATAGGGTCTCCCTGTAGTCCCAGCTGTCCTGGAATTCATCATGTAGACCAGGCTGGCCTAGAACTCACAAAGATCCACCTGCCTCTGCCTCCCAAGTGCTGGGACTAAAGGTGTGTGCCACCATGCCTGGCTTGATTTTTTTTTTTTTTTTTCGTTTAGAAATATCCTGATTTGTCCCAATTTACACTTTTGGTGTGGGGGCTGGGCATGTTGGCACTTGCATATATTCATTAAGAAATTGATTGGTTAGCTGAACATGCTGGCGCACTCCTTTAATCCCAGCACTCGGGAGGCAGAGGCAGGTGGCTCTCTGTGAGTTCGAGACCAGCTTGGTCCACATAGTGAGTTCCAGGCCAGCTGGGGCTAGTAGACCCTGTCTCAAAAAGACCAAAAAAAAAAAAAAAGAAAAGAAAAAGAAATTGATTGGTTGACATGTACAAATATTAAATAGGACAGACATGCTTCTTTCTCCAGTGAAACTTGTTCTCTGATCTTGAGAATAGAGCAAACAAAATCAAAAGGCAAATAGATAAGGTCAGGCAGCAAGAGATGCTAAGAAGAAAAATAAACATAAGGAATAAAGTGGGGAGGGGGTAGGTAGCTGGTTAGGGGATGGTTCCTTTGAGAAATAGGTACTAGTTTGGATAAATCCTAAATGAAGAGAAGAAATCAGTCAAGTAGGGATATAAAGTATCCCAAGCAGAGAAATCAACACATTCAAAGCCCCTGAGAAGGAATTGTATTTGGCATGTATCAGAATCAGAATAGAAGGAATCATGAGAGGGTTAAAAAATTATTGACCAAGCCGAGAGGAAGCCAGATTGCATAGGGCCTTAATAGACTCCACAAAGCCACTAAGGTATATTCCCAACCCTGAGTTGTATTCTTTTTAACATAGAACTCACTGGAGGATTTTGTTTGTTTTGTTTGAGACAGAGTGTCCCTGTAGGCCCAGCTGGCCTGGAACTCACAGAGATCATTAGCATGCCTCTGGCTCCTGAATGCTGGAATTAAAGGCATGTGCCACCACTCCTGGCCACTGAAGAATTTTAAACACAAGAGTTACTAAGTTCAGTTTATAAATGAAAACTCTTAACCAACTGCCATATGAAGAGTAGAAATATAAGAAAAGGAACAAGGAGACCACTTGGAGGGTTGTTTTGGACCAGGGAAGAGATTATAGTGGCGTAGATTAGAGCCATAGCAGTGGGGAGAGACATTTTATGTTATTGATGGGTATGAGAGCGGGGGAAGAGAGAAGACCTAAGTTTTTTACCTGGACAAACAGTGAAGCTATTTACTAAGGAGAAAAGATCACTTACAATGGTAAGGTAGGGAAGGTGGATGAGATGGGAATTGTGTTTCACTATCATAAACTTAACGATACCAAGAAAGTGTTGGAAACATAAGCTCACACCTCAGGGAACAAGTCAAAGATGCAGCAGGTGTACATAACAAATACTTAAGGTTTATATACAAACCGAACTACACTCTGAAAGATAAAAAAAAGATACCAGGGAGGTTACCAGATTAATACAACTCATCAAATTTTTAGGGTTTCAGATTCATTTTATACCTGTTAGTGGACTTAGTAGGTTGTGCTAGGCAAAACAATGTACTGCATGCCTCCCCTTATAGGGAAGTATCTGTTCTATTGTGTTCTTATATGGCACGGATTCAGAAGATAGTCTCGATGAAGTTCTGTCGGAATAATTGGATTCTAAGGATGCTTTTGTAGTTCTTCGTAAGTACAGTATAAAGTTCTAACTTCTTGCTCTCTTTCAATGCCCCACATATTCTGGACCCATTCTACCAATTCAGCAAGTACCCACCATTCCAAATGGACACAACTCCACACCCCCCATGGTATGCAGTACTCATTCTTTTTTCCAAACTCGTATCTCCTTTTTACGTTGCTTTTCCCTAGCCATTTGCTTTAAGACCCAGAGATGAAGTCTAGGCTTTTGAATTCTCTTAATTCTCCTGTAGCATGAACTGACACTTCCTTATCTCTAAATTCCAAAGCCTATATGATATGTACTGCTTATTTTAGTACTCAACATCAATACATTGCCATAAAGTATTATCCAGTGTATACATTTTGTTAAAGTGTAAGCTTTTTAAAGGCAAAAGACCTTGTTTATGATTCCTTTGTATGTGTGCTAGCATGCTATTAATCAGATAGTAGATATGTAGCAAATTAGTTTTAATGATTTGAATAAAACTTCACTATATTATTTCTAGTGATAGATTATTGTTTTTTCTTTAGGCCTTCCAAGATCTTCCAAACACATTGGATGAAATTGATGCTTTATTAACTGAAGAACGATCAAGAGCTTCCTGCTTTACAGGATTGAATGCTTCAGTAAGGCTTTCTCTGTTCTTATTCTGCAGCCACCACACTGCTACCTTCCCCATAGCACACATGCACACATACATGCACACACACACGCACACACGGCACGCGTGCATACATGCATGCACACACAGTTCTCTCCAGCGCTTACCTCCCACACTGTACTAGAGCTCTTGGTAATAATAAGCTAGACAGCAGGAACAATGTGCTTTAAATGCCAGATTCTGAATCTATTAGAATTTTAAATAGATTCTTCCTAAGGAACACAGTGTTCTGTGCCTTTTCTTTATAAAAAGAATAGTTGGGTTAACTTGAAATACACCAGTTTGTATTTTTTTTTTAAGAATTTAAAAAATAACATTTTCAGTATGCAATAATACAAATTAGGTGCATACAAATAATGTAACACAATTGACGTTTTCAGGTAATTGTTTAATTGATGCAGATTTTTATATAATTTTACCTTTGATAGAATCATCATAAAGATTTTTTTTCTACCAGGTGGTTCAAGAATACACAAAAAGAGAAATAGAAATACAGCAATTAACTGAGGAACTAAAGGGAAAGAAAGTTGAACTCGATGAATACAGGGAAAACATTTCACAGGTAATGTTTAAATTTTCATCTTTTCTTATATGCTTATCATCAGTGATATGGACATACAGACTACACAGAATTAAATGTGCAACTCCACTCTTGTGTTTAATTATGCTCCTAAAAGAAAAATGTGTTTTTCATAACCAGATTGACTATGATACAAAATTTGTTTTTGTAAAGTTTTGTATCAGGATGGATAATACCGCTTTTAAATTATGTTTTTTTTTTTATTGCCTTTATTTGTAGGTGAAAGAAAGGTGGCTTAATCCCTTAAAAGAGCTAGTAGACAAAATTAATGAAAAATTCAGCAATTTTTTTAGTTCCATGCAATGTGCTGGTGAAGTTGATCTCCATACAGAAAATGAGGTAAAATTGCTTTTGGAGTATATTTCATGATAAGTAATTTTAATTATGTGCAAAAAGTACATTTTAAATTTGCTTTAGAGATATACATTAAAGTTTGCTCACTAAAAAAATTATTATAAGGAAAGAAACACCATCTATGAAATTCCATTAGGGTTGCTTTGTGTGGTGAATTTTTTTTTTTTAATGCGTATGAGTCTTTTGCCTAAATACATGTAAGTGCACTCATGTCATGCAATACCTGAAGAAGCCAGAAGAGGGCATGGAATCCCCTGGAACTAGAGTTACTGGTGGTTGTTTGCTATCATGTGGGTGCTGGGGACTGAACCCTGGTCCCCTGTAAGAGCAGCCCTTGCTTTTAACAATCAGTTGAGCCATCTCTCCATCCCCAAGTGTGTTAATAATTTTTGATTAGTGACTAATACCTTTACTAGCTTTATCTGTAGCCAGTCTGGCTAATAATTATTTAGCTGTGTTGAATAAGTATGTTGCTTTATAAACCTACCACTGCTCAACTTAAAGAGTCAGAAGCAAATTAACAAACACAGTTGTAATATATCAATGGGTTTTTTGTGGTGCCGTTTTCTGGTTGAGTTAGGGTCTCGTGTAGTCTACCCTGGCCTAGAACTCACTATGTATCCAAGGATGACCTTGAACTCATGACCCTACTGCCTCAGCCTCTCAAGTGCTGGGATTACAGGCTTGCATTAGCATGCCTGGTTTCAGTAGTTTTTTTTTTAATCACAAATTCAAGAATGAAAATATAAGAAATGTGCTAATAAACTACAACTTCATGCATTGCTATTTTGTATAAAACAAATTTTCAATTAAGAAAAATGTGTAAAGAAAGCCTGGAGGTGTGGCTAAATGTTAGTGCATGCACTGCATGCCTGAGATCTGGATTCAGTTCCCAGCACCATAGCAAGTGAGGGAGGGAAGGAGAAATGTGTACGAAGATGACTGAGCTTCTTTCAGATAATTGAGAAAGTGGAGTGGATAGGGACAGAAGTGAAGGAAGGCTGACCAGGTATTGGTCTGAAGTAGAAGTATTTGCTGGTACACTGAACTTGTCTTTGTGTTCTCACTTTGTACATGTCAAAATGTTTCCACAATGAAATATCTTTTAAATAAAAGAAAGTTAATAAGAAATTTTTACATCTTTAAAATTCTGTGTTTTAGCATGTGTGCATATTTTCATTTTGTACATACATAAATATAAAACAAGATAGTCCGGTTTCTCCTCTCATTAGTTTTGCCCTGCAGCTCCATCTGCTTAGTGTGAAGCATGCATTGTGAAATGTGAAGCATTTCATTTTTCACTGTGAAGCATACAATGTGAAATACCATTTCATTTTTATGGCCAAGGTTTGAGATATTGGGCCCTTCATTGTCCTTACTGGAATTGGGGATGTATTGTACAATGTATAATTTCTAACGTGCTTTCTTTCTACCAGGTACTTTTAAGTTTATCTTGTTGGTAATCCTTTACAACTATCCTATGAAGCAAGAACTTTATTCACCCCTTCATAAACTGAAACTTAATTTTACTGAAGGTCACATAGCTATCAAATGGCAAAGAATCAAACTCCATACCTAATCCAAGACCCTAAGATCTTAAATAAATTAAATTATTGGAAGCATCCTGCTCAAAGTAACTACAGGGTTGTTTTTTGCGGGGGGGGGGGGGTGGTGTTGAGGGGGATCTCTTTGAGACAGGGTCTCCCTGAAGTCCCAGCTGTCTTGGAACTCACTTTGTAGACCAGGCTGGCCTTGAACTCACAGAGATCTGCCTGCCTCTGCCTCCTGAGTGCTGGGATAAAGGTGTGCGCCACCACGCCCGGCTACTACAGGGTTTTTTATCAGCAGCTTAACCTTGTGAGGTATACATATGATGGACTAAGAAAGGTGATGCCTATGAAGCATGACCTGCCATGGCAGTCCTATTCTTGAAGTCCCCTTGGTGTACTATAACTCTATGATGTACTTTCTTCTCAACAACCTCTTTGTATTCTCAGTGTGTTGCTGTAGAAATGAGTCTGTTCATGCTTTTCAGTGTGTTTCTCCTAGCTAGAATGAGGCTCCTAGGTAATGGACATTCTCCCCTCTTATACCCCTCTGCCTTTGTCCTCTCTGTATTCTGCCCTCCTTAATCACAGTTCCAGAACTGACTTCTTTAATGAGAAGCTAGATTGGGGCAGAAAAAGCAAAAAATGAAGGGTGACAGAGCCAAAAACAAAACTAGTAATAGTCAATCAAAGGCTGTAGTCAAAGGGCTGGAGAGATGGCTCAGTGATTAAGAGCACTGGCTGCTCCTGCAGAGGGACCTGAGTTTGAACCCCAACACATGGCAGCTATCAGCTGTCCATAACTCCCATTTCCAGGGGATCCAACACCCTCTTCTGGCCTCTGGGCACTGCATGACATGGGTACACTTATATACATGCAAGCGTAACATACATATAAAATAAAGTAAGCCTGTCGTCAAGAAATGACATGGTTGATACAATTAGTGTGGGAATTAAAACATAAATTATTACGGTTTTGTCATCTATTTAGTTAGGGGTTTTGAGGGAAAGGGTGAACAGATTGAAAATGGTATTTGTAAAATTTTAAAGCCTACCAGAATCCTTTGGCATTTGTGATTGCTGAAGTTTATATTTCTTTAAATGAAGTTCTTTTAATCTTGGACCTGTGCTCTGAAGAGATGACATGTAATTTCAAAGATTTAATATATAAAAAGTGTAAAAAAATTTTTTTCCCAGCTTAAATATATTTTTATTGAATTTTTGTATATTTAATACACAACATATTAATCTTTATGCACACTGCCCCATGTACACCCTCCCATAACCCCACCACTGGTTTTCATGAATTCTCTCACTTATGTTAAGGCCTATTGCATCAAATTAGTGTACCCAGACCTCTCTCAGTGCAAATTCATCCACTGGGGTCTTGTCTACCTAGAAGCACTCCTTTAAAGAAGATCAGCAATTTCTCACCCAGTTGTAATTGGTTTGTCAACTAATATTGGGACCTGCTGCCCATTTCCCCAGTTCTATGCCAGGTTTTTGTCTGCATGAGTTTGCATGGGTCTTATACATGCTGACATTATTGCTGTAAGTTCATTTGAGCAAGATCCCAGGGGCCTGCAACACTATTTTCATATGGCCATGCACCTCCTCCCCTGGTAATTAAAATACTTCCACGCCCTCTTTCCTCAATAGTCTCTGAGCTCTGGCTGTGTGAAGTTTAATAAAGGAGTTTTGTCCAAGAACCTCTTGGTTCTGCAGACTCCTCTTATTCTCTATGCTTTGGCCATTTGTGGTCCTTCGTGTTCATTGCCCTCTGTTGCATGAGTGAGCTTCATTGATGAGACTTGAGAGATGCATTAGTATTCTTTCTATACCTTGTTCCACTATGTTCTGTGAGTCTTAGATGTAGAGGTTCCATTGTAGATGTATCACTTAGCATTGAGCATTTCACAGACACTTAATTTCTGTGTGTGATCAGTTATGGAACTCTGTAATAATCTATCTGTTGCAAAAGAAGCTTTTTTAACGAGTGGTGACTGGCATACTTGTCTGTAAATATAAGAATTCATATTTAATACATAGTGAAAAATGTGTATTTATCCAGGGATATGACAGCCTTGGGGTTTTCTTTAAGATCTATGAACTCTCCAGTCATGTGTATTAGGCAAGGTTTACAGTACCACACACGAGTTTCCCCCCCATTGAGTAAGCTGTAAGTCCAATTAGGTAGCTATTGATTACCCTCAAGATAAAGTGTTCCTACTGTCCAATATGGTTTGTTGTATTAGTTATTGATGTGGTTATTAGACCTTAAAGTTGGGGTTGGAGTGTAAAAATTTTTTACAGATAATATTTTGTATTGTGATTATAAGTTTTAAGTGATATTTTGCCTCCCAGCATTCCATTTGTGTGAGGATAAGCCAGAGGCTTTGCCTGATCATGGCTTTGCTTGGAAGCATTAAGGAATCTTTTCCTCTGTGATGACCCTCCTCTTTGTAGATTGGACACTGATTTGAGTCCATGGGTCTCCATGGCCTCCCTGAACCAGAGGACAGGTGACTCATCACAGTTATAGGATATTTTGAGAGATGCCCTATAGTCTCCTAGGACCTAGTTGACTTTGGAGGGCAAACAACAAAATATTGTCCCTTTAAGTCCCTGTGACTACATTAGTATAGGCCTCCAAGTATGGCTATTAAACACCCGAGGAGGTTAATTATACTGGTCTGGTATTTTTAATTACTTTGTAATATGTGGATAAAGCTTGAGAAAACCAATTCATTCTTAAATAAGCTTTGATTAACCATTTATTTGTTTTTTCCTTCAACCAGCTCTTATAATTGTTAACAAGAATAGATCAATAACTCCATTACTTTAGGTAAAAATTTGACTGAACTTTTAACTTAGAGTTTTTTAATTTAATGTTTTTGTGAATTTCATATATTATAATCATATTTAAATTCCCTCCCATATCTGGACCCCCCTTTCTAAACCCCTCACTAAATCTCTGCAGTCTAGTAATATATATTAGAGAGAGAGTGTGTATAAACACTTGGATAGCTCTTAAAAGTTTTCAGACAGTAATTGCTTAGTATTTTATTGTTTGAAATCAGTATCACTAAATTTTAAGTTCTTATCCAATCTGACTTACCCAGTCCGCTTTCAAGAAATTGAATGAAATAACCAGGAAAAACAAAACAAAAAAACTGTCATTTTTCAACTTTTTAAATGTTTTATAGGAAGACTATGATAAATACGGAATTCGAATTAGAGTCAAATTTCGCAGTAGTACTCAACTGCATGAATTGACACCTCATCATCAAAGTGGAGGTGAAAGAAGTGTTTCTACCATGTTATACTTAATGGCGCTCCAGGAGCTTAACAGATGTCCATTCAGAGTAGTTGATGAAATCAACCAGGTATGATGCTTATTCTTTTATTTGGATCTTATTGTATCCTCTAATAGATACAGATGTAATGATTATTATCATGGTTTAGGGTATGGACCCAATCAATGAACGAAGAGTATTTGAAATGGTTGTAAATACTGCCTGTAAAGAAAACACATCTCAGTACTTCTTTATTACACCAAAGGTAAGTGGTAAGTAAGCTCACAGTAGTCATATGCTCAGGTGCCCTCAGTGGCTTAATTGTGTGGCATATTTGGGCCCAGTATGTAAATATGAGCAGGAACACTCCTCCGGAAAGCTAAAATGATTATAGTAACATTTATACTCATATAAGGGAAAAGTTCTAGTGACATAATAAGAAACCTCTTTATCTGAGGAAGAAACGTAGGAGGCATATCATTATGCTCTAAAACCTAAATTTCCTTCTTGTTTTTGGCACTCATTCCCCTTCTAGAAAAGCTCTTTTTTGGCTAAAGGATGACTAGGACTGCAAACCCTAGAACTCTAGCCCTCTCTTTGCCACACAGGACTGTCCTGTCACATAGTAGTCTGCCTTACCACTGCCACTACTCTGGCTCTGAAGAAATAAGTATCCCTACAGCTTTTACTTACAGATAATTTGATAAAAATATAATTACCTTCACAGAGATTTTTTCATAATCTAAAACTGTTGCAGTGGGAAACTTTGTTTTGTTATGTCTAGTGCTGTTGGTAAATTATAAAGTAAATAAACTCAAAGATGTGTTTATTAATAAAGTCAGTTTTTTTTTTTTTCTTTTTCAACTATTCATGAAAATCTCATTGGATAGCTCACTTAGATGTAATTTTTTTTTTTAAAACAGGGTCTTCATGTAGTTCCAGCTGGCCTGGAACTCACTATGTAGACCAGGCTGGCCTCCCGTCTCAGAGAGATCTGCCTGCCTCTCCAAGTGCTGGGACTAAAGGTGTGTGACCACGCCTGGCCCTACGTTTTTATTTGGATTTTGTCTTCTCTCAGCAGATCTCAGTGGACTAGTCAGATCTACCCCTACTCTATTGCTTACCAAACAGGTTGGCTTATAAACCACACCTCCCTGCACGTTTTTCAGACTACCGGTCTGTCATAGTGCTTAACCATAGATGTTGTTTGAAAGTGTTTTGGATAGAAATTAAAGTGCATACCTCTCTCTGGGGACTACTTAGGAAAGTCTATCCTAGCTGTCCTGTAAATATAGAGGAATCCAGACAACTGGATAATTCCAATAGGTCTGGCTTCAGAGATGCTTACTCAGGGAGCTGTCATAGGTTAGCTGAGGATTATGTATTTGTGCACGTGTCAGGTTGGAACAGCCTTTCTCAATATATAGTAGTATTATATGCAGTTTGTTTCAATCCTTACAGCTCCTACAAAATCTTCCTTATTCTGAAAAGATGACAGTATTGTTTGTTTACAACGGTCCTCATATGCTGGAACCAAACCGATGGAATTTAAAGGCTTTTCAGAGACGGCGGCGCCGTATTACCTTCACTCAGCCTTCTCAGTGAAGGGACAGGGAGGAGACTTCAGAGGTTTTTGTTTTAACTGTTTATACATGTGGCTCAACTGAATAAAAGCAGATTTATTGAAAAAGAAAGATTGGTTATTTTTGGAAACCTGCTTTTAAATAAAAATGTCGATGAAATACAGTGACTCTCTGGAACAGTCTCTGGTAGTATAAATTAAGTCTTCAGTATTGGTTGAACTTGACTCTTTAGTGCTCTGTGAGTACTGAATTCTCCTGTTTAAAGGTATACACTGCCCCAGAGTGTGTGGTGGCACACACATCTTATCCAGCACTTGAGAAGTAGAGGCAGGAAGATCATGAGTTCAAGACAAACCTGGGCTGCCTAGCAAGTTCCAGACCACCTAGGCTGCAGAGTGGGATCCTGTCTCAAAAAAAAAGGTTATTTACTCTTTCAAATCAGAAGTTTGGTAGAACAGAATTATCAATCCCAAAGAGTTTACTTAACATGGTAGCCCTGAGCATTAATTGCAGAGTAACTTTAATTACTTTTATAGCCTAAAGACAACTCTAGAACTAGAATCTCAGTTTTCTTCCAGTATTACATTTCGTTTTTAAAAACAGAGGACTATCTAGTCTAATGTATACTAATTTATGGCAGACCTGTTCATTTCTTCCTGTTAAAAAAGTTACCTTATCTTCATAGCAAACAGCCGTTTATGGCCTTTTAAAGTTTTGGGAAACTTGATACGATAATTTTATTGATATCTCAAGGAATTGGAAAAACACACACAGGGCTTCAAAAATGGTATCAGGACTGCAAAGCCACAAGGTGGCCATTATATGATACAAAATGTAACCCTAACATTGACAGTAAAATCAGGAGACAAGAGTTTTTAAATAGCCTTGTAAAGTATATGTGTTGTAGTGGGGGTGGGGGGTTGTGTTCTATTTGTTTTTCAATTTAAAGTCAATTGTATTTTACATCTTAAACTTCTACATGCGTTTTTATAATTACTTTTGGTAAGATTTTTCTTAAGATTTCATATACAGTTTCTACAATTTATATTTTTAGTTTCTCAGTGCTATGTAAAACATTGATTTGTTAGTTATGTTTTTAGAATTTATAGATCTTTCCTTACAGTGTGGATTGAGTTCATTATCGTAGAAAATCCCATCAAAATTCTTTTCTTCCAGCTTGAAAAAATTAAATAATTTATATTTCTCTGAGTATACTAATTAACGTGGCAAACAAATTATATTCTTTTAAAAACTAAATCTTGCAAGAAAATAGACATGTCTTTTAGTGGATTGGACCAGAACTGTGCTGGTATTTTTTTTTTTTTTTTGACTTGCTAGCCTAAATAGACTGAATAAGTTCAAGTTTTTGATATTATTAAGTAGCCATTGAAATTTATATTCTTAGTAGGCTAAAAAATAATGAACCATGAGTTTATTTCCTCTCACTTTGCCATTTTCTTTTATAAATGAGGCTGGAGAAAGGGCTTAGTGGTTAAAAGCACTTGTAGAGGACCCAAGTTTAGTTTCCAAGTTTAGTACCCATATGGCGGCTAACAAACTGTCAGCAGCTCCGGTTCCAGGGGATCCAAACCCTTCTGACCTCCGTGGGCACTGCACACACATACTGTGTTTACATATAGGTAGAACACTCATATACGTAAGCTACAAACAAAATTTTTTAAGTGTTTTTCTTTCTAGAACCTGTAAAAGAGCCCTCTCTTAAATTAAGTCTGATGCATGAAGTATGAAGATATTTTTAATACCACATTTTTACTAGCATGAACAAGTCAGAAAAACATTGAAAACCTTGGTAGCATACTAGTGAAGATTATTACCAAACCTTTCTGCTGTTACTTGATTTTCCACCTTAATATCTTCACTAATATGTACTTAGTGTAGTTTGTTTTATCTGAGTTACTACAGTCATCTTATTTCTGCAAAATGATCATCGGTGTACAAAAGGGAGATTGAAGATTAAATCGAATTGGAAAAATAACATCAGCAGTTCAATTTACATATGCCAACAATTATTCCATGTTGTGTTTATAAGCATTTAGTGAACGAAGTTAATACTTTGTTTTATATTGAATTTTGAGCTGGGAAGGATAAATTATGTATCATTTTATCATACTAAAAATAGTCAAACTTACTATATCATTATTATATCATACTATATTATCATATTAACCATATTATGTCACTTTTATCATATATTAAAAATAGTATAATGTCATATTTTCTGCAAATGTTGATTTTTAATGACATTCTCATTGTAAAAATTTTAAGTAAAAGCTTGATTTGATAAATAAAGTGATATTTAAAACCTGAAGGTTACAGATATTTTTGATTACTAAATCTGTTGATTTGCTAAGGAGAATCTCTGTTAAAAGGTTTTTCATTTTCAAGGATGAAAGCTTTCCTGCTGCTTTCTAATTGTCTTGGACATGTGCCTATAGTATGTGAACAATGTAATTTCATCCTGTTTTGTGTGTGTATGTGTATAACTGATAAAAACTGCTTGAAATGCTACTTTGTTGGTAATAAATACATATTTTCATATTTTGGGTATAGGTTATTTAAAATGGGAGCTTTTTAATACTTTGAACCTTCCTGAGTTATTTTGTTTTCAGATTTACTGAAAGCAAAAATTTTTAAAGTGCTTGCCATTTATAATAGAATATTTAACAGTCTGTGTCCAAAAGATAAATATTTAGTCTCTTGTCCATTTACAGTGAAGTTACAGTACAATAGCACCAGTAACATGTAGGGAAAGCTTGAAACCATCCAAAGAAGCCAAGCTAGAAGGCAAGTATAACTGCTTTTGTTGTAACACTATGTTTTCTAAAAACATGTATGGCAGCCAATATTGTCTGTTTCTTACATTAAATAATTATCCAAAGCAACCTTCTAAAAGTATCTTGAGTCAGACATACTTGACCACTCGCTTACGGATAAGTCTCTCAACTGCTTCTACACTGGAGAGGTGAATATATACCTAATTTACAAAGTTATTTAGAGACTCAGATCTATAACCCGTTAGGGAAACTTTTATCATTGATAGTGCTTCTTTTCCTTACTTTAAATCTTTAAATCTGTGTTCTATACATCTGTGTATGAATTCACAGCAAAGTCAATGTGGAGGTTCTCTGTTCTTAATAGTGTCAGTTCACAGGATGTCAGTAATTAAGGACTTTGTCTTAGGCATTACAGGTACAAGTATTTTCACACACCTTGTTACCTTCATGAAATCTGAATGTGATTTGGATGAGCTAACCTGTATGCTAATCTGCCTTCACTTTATAGTCATTCATATATTTTAAGAAAGTTCATAACTGATAGTTAACGTACTTGGAAGAGATGACTGTGTTGACAATTTGCACTTGTTTTTATTCACAGTAGAAAAATTGTGGATAGGACTTTTTTTCCATTTCCTCCTTTAAGTGATAAATGTGCCCTCATCGCCATTTACAGGTATACAGTTCAGTGGCATGAAGTATGTCCACAGTATTGTACAGTCATCGTCACCATGCCTTACCAAAAATTTTTCATCATCCTAACAAACTTTGTATCTATTAAAACTAACTCTCCATTTACCTGGTAAACACTGTTCTGCTGTTTTGTTGTTTATTTTTGTTTTTATTTTTATTTATTTATTTATTTTGGTCTTTTTGAGACAAGGTCTCCCTATAGCTCCAGCTGGCCTGAAACTCGCTATGTAGACCAGGCTAGCCTCAAATTCAGAGATCCTCCTGCCTGTCTCCCAAGTGCTGGGATTAAAGGCATGTGCCACCACACCCAGCTTGTTTTTGATTTTTAAGTTAGCATACAAAGTAGTATGTTTCACTATGGCATTTCATACTTAATGTCATTGTATTTTGTTCCTATTTATTGTTCTTTTTCTGCCCTCCTCCACCTCCCTACTCTCCTCTTGCTGGCCCCTTTCCTCCCCCAAAATAGTGTCCCTTTCAGTTTCCAAGTCAGTTTTCAGTGTTCTCCATTACTATCTCTCCCTCTTAAGATTTCTTCTCCCCTCTCATGTTTGCCTTTCTAATTTCATGACCTAGACACACTTATGCACATACATACACATTTAAATCTAGGATCTGCATATGAGATAAAATACAGTATTTGTCTTTCTGAGTCTGGCTAATTTAGCTTAATGACTTTAAGTTCCTTCCTTTTTCCTGGAACAAATATCATTATTTAATTTTTCTGATTAGCTGAACAAAATTCCATGTGTGTATGTACATTTTCCTTATCCATTCATCTGTTGTGAATCGTGCAGCGATAAACATGGATGTGCAGGTATCTCTGGTACGTTGTCTTGGAGCGCTTTGGGTGTATACCGTGGAGTGGTATACACCATGCGGTAGTTCTATTTTTATTTTTAAGAAACATCATACTGATTTCCATAGTGAGAGCACCAGTTTACATTCCCACCAGCAGTATATAGGAGTTCCTCTTTCTCCATATCCTCAACAGCATTTGTTATTTGGTTTCTACTGTTCTATCTAGGTAGAATCTCACCGCAGTTTTAATTTGTATTTCCCTGATGGCTAAGGATGTGGGACACTTTCTCAGGTATTGTAGTTCATATGTATTTCTTCTTTTGAGAACTATTTATTTAGTTCATTAGCTGTTTATTAATTGGATGATCTGGGGCTTGGTGTTTCATTTGTACAGTTCTTTATGTTTCTTGATATTAATCCCGTGATGAGTGTATAATTGACAGATCTTTTTCCCATTCTGTAGACGGTCTCTGCACTCTTCAGAAACTTTTTGATTTCATGCAGCCCCATTTGTCAGTGTTTCCGATGCTATTGGAGTCCTTTTCAGAAAGTCTATAACTGTGCCTTTATCTCAAAGTCATTTCCCAGAGTTTTCCTCTTCACAGTTTCAAAATTTCAGGCCTTAGGTTAAAGTCTTTGTTAGTTTCATTTTTGTATATATGTATATCCAGTTTGCCCAGTACCATACGCTTTCTTCCAGTGTATACTTTCGACACCTTTGTTGGAAATTAAGTGGATATAACCATGGATTTATTTCTGAATCTTCTCTTCCATTCCTCTACATGTCTGCTTTTGTGCAGATGCCATACTGTTTTTGTTACTATTTTTGTATACTGTTTTTGTATACTGTAGTATAATTTGAGATCAGGTATTGTGCTACCTGGAGCATTACATTGCTCTTTCTGCTTAGGGTTTCTTTGTTTATTCAGAATCTTTTGTGCTTCCATATGAATTTTAAGATTGTTTGTCGGGCATAGTGGCACATGTCTTGTAGTCCCAGCACTTGGGAGGCAGAAGTAGGTAGATCTCTGTGAGTTCAAGGCCAGCCTGGTCTATATAATGACTTTCAGGCCAGCTGGGGCTACAGAAGACTGTCTCAAAAAGACAAAAAAATAAAAAATCAAGGTCTCCCTGTAGCCCCAGCTGGCCTGGAACTCACTATGTGTACCAGGCTGGCCTTGAGCTCACAGAGGTCCGCCTGCCTCTGCCTCCTGAATGCTGGGATTAAAGGCATGTGCCACCACATCTGCCTTAATGCTTCTGATTTTTAATGTAATTACAACTGTAAAGTTTCCTCTCAGAACTGCCTTAGCTGTATCCTAATGGTTGTGATAAGTTGTGCTTTCATTTTCATTTGGTTCTAGGAATATATTTCCTTCTTGCTTTCTTCAGTGACCCACTGTTCATTCAAAAATGTATTATTCAGTCTTCAGCTGTCTACGTGGTGTCTGGTTTCTCTG